GAAAATGGAAATTGCGCGATTGGAGCGGGGTTATCTAATTAGACAATACAGCACACCAGGGACTGTGCAGAGGGAGGCCTGGCTTCTCACAATAACGTTTATATCAGTGTCTCTCTTTATCTGCGTTGGATGGTTTTAACAAAACAAAAAAGAAATAATTAGCGTCGAATGATCCACATGATTCACTCCAGTTTCATCTCGATTTTTTCTAACAAAACCAAATTTCATTTTTTTTTTGGGTCGACTTTTAAATGTTAATTAAATCTGTGGCTGATAATTGCAGAAATATTCGCGCAGCAGGTGCAGACAGGTGTGACATCACAGCTCTAACCAGCCAATGGGAAATAACTCCATCCAGCTGTTTGGGTTTTAAAGAATCAGCATATAGAGAGAAAAAAAACAAAAAAATATAAGGGGGAAAAAATATCAAAGGCTCCGTTTTTATTCATTTTTATATCACTGTGCAAGCTGTTGTCATCCGACCTCAACGTGTCTGTTATTAAACTTCATAAAACACAAACACATCTGGATTTTTCCACCGCTTGAATCACGATCATCACACTTTAAAATAAATAAGAAGCGAAAAACAACCGCATAGAACTATCAAACGCCTTCCTGTCTGACTGCAACCTGCAAAGTGACGCGAATATTTAATTGATTTTTCAAAATAAAACCCCCGAAGCGGCGGTTAGAGGTCAGTGCCATGCTCAAGAGCACTCCAGCAGCGCGTTTTTAGAAAAAAATAATTAAATGAACGAATATGAGGTACTACTTTCCTCCGCGCCTTCACACGCACGCACAACAAGATAGAGGGCAGATATCTCGTCGGGGGAAATTAAAAAGTCGTCAAGCGCGCAGTGCTGCAGCTGATTAGTGGAGACGGCGGTGCCCATCAAATACACTTCAAGCCCATGTTCGGGCCCAACGCGCGCAATCAGCGGTCTGCTAGCAATCCCGTCCTTTTTCTCCATCACATAAACACCACTTAAAGGAAAATATACACGGCCACCTACAGCGCAGGGAAAGTGATGAGGGGGTGCCCACCTCCACATTACACTGTTTTCAATTAAAGTGACAATGCTGAGTGAACTATAGGCGACACTGCGGAGGCGCAGAGCCAGAGAACCAATCAGGGTGCATCTTTGAGTTATTGCTCAAATGCAGCAAAACGGGAAAAAAAGAAAGAAAATGTTGTGTTGCATTAAAAATATGTCAGAAAAATAATTTCAGAATCAGCTCTGGAGTTTTATTATTTACAATATGCAGGTTTTTTTTATGTTTGTGAATGCAAGAATAAAATATTTGTTAATTTAGTGCAGAAAACTCTTTATAATGAGTCTGTGCGTAAAACTGAGATGTCACTTGCATCTGTGCGTCTTTTACGCTTTTAGTAAACACGAGAAAAAATCATTTTTAAAAAAACAGACAAATAAAACTATGTGATTTTCAAAAGCTTTTTAAAAAAAACATGTTTTTCTGTTAAACTCCATTTTCAGGCCTTCCATTAGTCAAACACAACATCTGCTTTTTCAGTTTCTTTGGTAATTAAATTCAAGTTTTTATTCATCAATCAACTTATAAACTTACAAAAATATTAATTTTAAAAACTTTGTCCTTCTTTTATTGGTTTAAGTCAAGGTTTTTAACAAACATATTAAATTAAAAGTTGAACCTATCGCATTGTTTACTGCCTTTATGTGATTCCTCTATAGTATTGATAACGTAATAAAATACATTTTATATTTTTTTAAAACCTTGATTCAAGTTCAAGTGGGATGAACTCGGGGCAGCTGATCGATCACTCTGTCGCTGCGTCCTCCAAACAAAGACTCTGCGGCCTCTCGGTGACCCTCTGCGGCCCTTTTTCACCACCGAGGAGGGAAACTGGTTTATGATGCAAAGATTATGCTTCATGAAAGAAACTTTAAAAGTAAATTTAAGGTTTAAAATTCTCTGAGTCACGTGGGATTAGGCCTAATCTCCCAACTGTTCAATCTGGTGCTGTGAGGCCTCCAAACAGATTTTACTGCTGGACCGCTGCTGCTTTTGGATCTATGATCTGCTTGTGTATTTATTTATTCTTCTTATGACAAAGAAATACGGTGACCTGCTCAGGTGATGCTGCACAACGTAGCCAACAGATCCGAGAAGAATTCAGCTCATTGATCTGGAACGATTTTAGCCCACAGTGATAAAACTAAACACCAAGAAAGCTTTGCGAGACTAAAATGAACATTCTGTAAATACTAAAATATCCTGTCTGATGATTTTGGTCACATTGTTCTAGTAAAGGCCTAAGATTTCTATATTTTCGTCCTTTTCATGGAGTGAACAAGAACCTGAGTGAACTTATGTAAGAACCAACAAGAAAACATTTATGTGCGCACTCCTGCACATTATTGCAACAACGTGACCAACCAAAAAGCTGGTTTCAGTGCACTAAATAACGGTAAGGCGGCCCGGAAAGCCTGTCAGGACTGTGCACTCTGCGGTGTACCTCCACCTAAGTGGCCGAGCATTCCTGAGGATGCAGCGCTGTCAAATATTTCATGATGGGACGTCATGGAAAAGTGCATGACTTCGTCTGCGATGGAGCAACAGGGAAGCTCTGACCTCGGGTCTCAAGCCTCAGCAGCAGTGATGAACATAATCTGCCACCGAGGCTCCCATGGCAACATTTTCCTGCTTTGCCATCCCTGTTCTCAGCACAAAGTATTGAAAATGTGTCTGTGTCCATTAGAAAACGTTTCTGTAGATGAAAGCGTAACGTGATATGATGATGATGAATATTATTTCTGATTGATAAGCCTCCTGTGTTACTCCTAATGAACATTAAACCTCCAAGGGTGATGTGAGGTAATAAAAAATAATAGATTTTACTGTTTTTCACTGGGGAAAGAAGAATGCAGCAGGGAGTTGCGCATCACCATCCAGCACTGACGGTTTGCGTAAACATTACGGACACTGGCTTCGGTTGGATTCGTACAAAAAGTACAAATACATGCAGCCTATATATAGGCATAACAAAGAAATACTAATATGGCATGGGGGGGAATGAGCGTGAGAGAAAGAAAGCCTTAATGGAATGAAGTCATCAGCGGTAATTAAATGCAGTGGGCAGAGAGAGGACGGGAGCGCGCCTGCCCCTGGTGCGCGCTGGGTGGTCCGCTACGCTGATAAATGTGTGGCCCTCACTTCAGGCGAGTGGCCGAGCAGGCACCGGTTAAAACAATACTTACATTCATTTATCCGTAGTTTGAAATCTCCTCTTTAAAAAAAACAACAAAAAAACTAACCGTGGCACCTTTGGGTTGACAATGAAAATTTGACAATGAATCGTTTTGTCGCTTCCTCTGCGGCAAAGCGCCTGAAACAAAAAAGCCATCCGTTCATGTTTTGAGAGAATTTAATCAAGTGAGACATTAATAAAGCACTTGTAATTTCTACTACACATCGAAAATCGACTTAGTCACCTCAGACTGAAATCCAAACACTATTTTACGCAAAACTAACACAGGACTTTACGCACAAGGAATAAAGTGGCCAAACGTCCTTCGATTTTACGCACAGGTTAAAACTTGTATGTTCATCCACTTTTTACCCCGATATTATTTTTCAGTGTCAAAACTAACAGCCATCAGAAACTAGAACGCCGGTACAGTTTAGAAGCTCCTCTAACTGAAGCCACGGACATGCAAAAGGTTACAGGCTGCAGCTATCGAGATCTCTGGGGAACAATAAGCAACCTACTGTCAACAGTTTTAGGCTATGGACTGATCGCCTTCCAGTAGCTCACAGCTGGGTACGAGGCTGTAAAGCGAAGTAAAATAAAATAAAGCTTTTCCATATTGGAAACACAAACTGATAAAACAAACCGGTGCGCATCTTCTCCCTGAGCTGCAGTTAAAGCAGAGACACGCTGCAGAGCTTAACGCACATTTGGACTCAGTTTTTTTCTTCCTCCCTAATTATCCTATATTATGTCACATAAAACAAATTAACCATCCCGAGTTTTCCACTGTGGCCCTGAGCTAAAGTGGCCACAGGTTCTGTTGTGACTGAAAGTGTTAAATCCACCTTACTTCCATTCCTGGATCATTCGATGGGAAACTGCCTGCAGGAGTCGATCTCAGGTCCCCGTCCGACTTTCTGTGCTCACAGCTCGGCAGAGCTTCCACCTCACTCCTCCCGCGTCCCTGCGTAAATATTATGACTGCATTACACAAACAATATTCATGTGTTAAAAACCGTCCAGCATTTAGAGAAGACGCTGCGAACGCGCGGGCATATCGCATCAGATTGAGTATTAGCTGATCTAACGGGGCTTTTGCTTGATTTTTTATTTAAAGAAGGCCAGGGAAAATGTTTACATCTTGCTGTATAAACATCCTGCCCATGTTCCTGTCTATCTTTTACAGAAATCAGGAGGGTGGCTTGGAATATGAGGGGCATGTTCTCTGCAAAAAATGCTGTTCATGCACGAAAAATGTTTTATAAAATATTTCAGGAGTTTCTGGACGAACACAGACACGACCTTTAACAGTGGAAGGTGCACGGAGCACAAGTGGAGAGATGCTACATTCACTTCTCATTTATAAATCTACATTTCATTATTGTTCCAGAACATTAGGCTTAAAAACAAGAATAACAAAAATAAAATAAAATCACATTAGAAAACAAGGAATTTAAAATCTGCATGTGAAGCCTGTATCCAGGGTAGTGACTGAGACTTCCTCTATGCTCAGGCTCTGCTTTACAATCATATGAATGTATTTTTATTCTATCATATATTAACGCGTACAGGTTATCGCAGGCTATATGTGGGGTATTTTCCCTATTTCAGTGTAAGGCAGGAAAAAAGAAAAAAAAAAGCATTTCGCTGAAAAGTGAACGCACGCAGATGTGCATGCTTACAGCCCACCACTGGAGTAGGAGGGAACTGGGCGGATCCCAACATTAGGATGACCAAGACTTACAGCTTCCAATGCGCCGATGGCAACAGATAAGTAAAAAGTGAGCTCCTCGGACGCACGACAACACACCAAGTGAAGTGGAAAGCGGCTCCTGTTCTGCTCCTTATCCCATTTCGGACGCTGCGTACGAGGCGGTCCGACTCCAAACTGCTGCGGGACTGAACCAGAAGGCAAGAAGAGAGAAGAGAGAAGAGAGAGGCGCCTTTGGCTCGTGTCTACTTACTGCTCTTCTTTTTTTTTTTTTTTTTTTTTTTTTTTGTTCCAAGTTTCTTTATGACAGCGAATTCGTTTCCAGCGTATTTATAGGTGGAAAACAATCGTTTCTCTGTTTGCCATCTCGACGACTAAACTTAACTAATGACGGCAGAGGTCCAGCAGCCCCCAGCGCAGACTCCTGCCCAGAGCAGCCCGATGTCTGCTCCGGAGAAGCCGCACGGACAGACGGTGGTGATGGAAACCGCTTCCTCCACTACGAAAACCAAAAAGACAAACGCAGGGATCCGACGACCGGAGAAGCCGCCGTACTCCTACATAGCGCTGATAGTCATGGCTATCCAGAGCTCTCCGACCAAGCGGCTGACGCTCAGTGAAATCTACCAATTCCTGCAGAGCCGCTTCCCGTTTTTCAGAGGCTCGTATCAGGGATGGAAGAACTCCGTGCGTCACAACTTGTCCCTGAACGAGTGCTTCATCAAGCTGCCCAAAGGCCTCGGCCGGCCTGGGAAGGGCCACTACTGGACTATCGACCCGGCTAGTGAGTTTATGTTCGAGGAGGGCTCCTTCAGAAGGAGACCCAGAGGCTTCAGGCGCAAGTGCCAGGCGCTGAAGCCCATGTACAGCATGATGAACGGCCTGGGATTCAACCACATCCCCGAGTCTTACAACTTCCAGGGGAGCGGCGGGGGCCTATCCTGTCCGCCCAACAGCTTGTCTCTGGACAGTGGGATTGGGATGATGAATGGACACTTGGCAGGTAACATGGAGGGGATGGGTCTGTCCGGTCACTCCATGTCACACTTGTCGACCAACAGTGGACATTCCTACATGGGAAGTTGTACAGGATCCACCGGGAGTGATTATCCCCACCACGACAATTCCGCCTCCCCTCTGCTCACCAGCGGGGGAGTCATGGAGCCTCACCCCGTCTACTCGAGCTCAGCCTCGGCGTGGGCTCCGGCCCCGACGGCCTCGTTGAACAACGGGGCCTCCTACATCAAGCAGCAGCCTCTGTCTCCGTGTAATCCGGGAGCGAACCCGCTGCAGCCCAGCTTGCCCACGCATTCACTAGACCAGCCGTACCTGCACCAGAACGGGCACAGTACCACAGATCTACAAGGTAAGGCGCAAAACCTGTGACAATGTTCAGCTGGTTTTTGTAAATATAAAAAGCTGGAGGTGAGAGAGCCACACATGGATTCACATTTAGCCCATTTAATTATTACAAGGTTCAGAGAGTATTTCCTACATATGCTCATGTTTGGTGGTGAACAGATACTTTTTTTTATGGTCTTGTGCCAAAAGCGGGCCTAATGGAAATACTGAGCAGCCCCGGAGTGAATTACTGCGCTGGATTTGTTTTGCACCAATAAACACAGGCTTATCTCTATTGTGCAAAACGGAAGGCTTGAAATTAAGGCCATTACGGAAAATGATGCAGCTAATAGAAAGCACGTATTTCATCCCACAGAAATGTACTTTGTTTTGCTCCTAATTAAAAACAATAATAACAATAATACACCAAATAAAACCCAGACATCAGGGGAGGTTTGAAACTGAGCAGTTTGTGGAAATGGTAGAAGAAGAAGAAAAAAAGAGAGAGGGCAAGGAGAGTCTGCCGGGATAGTTTAGAGTCGTGCCAATCTCTGGGCAAGAAAAACAAGCGCGGTTTGGTCCAGCCTGCCTTGCCCCGAGGCTCCCGGTCCTCCGGGACTGGCGTGCAAGAGGGCCACTGTCAATTAGCCCTGCAAGCCCGCCTCCCCTTTTGACAATCTTAATCGTGCTTGCTAAATGGACTTTAGGTCTGGGTGGAATATAAACGAGTTAGATTGACAGAGTGAAGCTTTGTACACCGCCTGTAAATTAAATATGAACCCTGACTTAAAATAAAATACACGTTTTAAATTCCATAAAGGGCCTCCTGTCACAAGATGGTATTATTGTTGTGAACAGGGCCTTTATTATTCATAGCTGCAGTTAAATATATATGAAAAAATATATTTAATAAAATACTAGAATCTTTAAACTCTACACATTTGTTTGGTTTCGTTTTTCTAACAAACTGGGAGGACATGCTGGAATTCATATCCAACGTGTTTACATTTAAAAAACCTGCTTGTGACACTGGAGACAGTTTTATTTTTATTTTTTTATATATATTTACTCCATGTTTTAAAATGTCTTTGTGCAGGTATTCCTCGGTACCATTCCCAGTCTCCCAGCATGTGTGACCGAAAGGAGTTCGTGTTCTCCTTCAACGCCATGACGTCCTCAGCCATGCACTCACCGAGCAGCGGCTCGTACTACCACCACCAACAGGTCTCCTACCAGGACATCAAGCCCTGCGTGATGTGATCATGTCCTCCTACACAACCCCAAGGACAAAAAGCCTGCAGACCAGAGGACGGTGTCACAGACTTTGAGCCACGCAGCAGAGCGAACTGAAACGAGAACAAATGCGTAAAATTACCACTGAGAGACTTAAAGGCCGCAGCCTTGGAGAGCGC